TATTTCTTCCTTTCTTCCATTTTAATTTTTCATTTATCTGGTGATCTACTTTTGCTGTTTTTGCTATAACTTTGTGCCTCAGAAAATGTCTTTTCTGGCTTCCGAGTTAGCAATTTTCTGCATAAAAATTTCATGAGTTCGTACGTGAGAACTACACGTGTCCGAGAGTTAGATTTGATATGTTTAACTTTTACGGGGCCTGGAAATGTAACCCTAAAATTTCAGCACCCAGCTTTCCTGGTTTCCGAGTTAGCCATTTTCCCACCAAAAACTTTCACGGTGCCGTACATGGGAGCCGCGTTCCCTGAAAATTCCAGCCTTCCAGCTTTCCTGGTTTCCGAGTTAGCCATTTTCCCACCAGAAACTTTCACGGGGATGTTCGTGAGAGCCACCTACAGGGGCTGAATTTGATTAATTTAAGTTGTACATGTGCTGGGAACATACCCTGAAAATTTCAGCCTTCCAGCTTTCCTGGTTCCGGAGTTAGTCATTTTCCCGCCAAAAAATTTTCAGTGAGAAATCCGAAGACGACTTTCTTTTTAGTGATGCTTTTGTTTTCTACCGAAAGGGCATGATTCCATGCATCTGATGAATTTGTTACAGGTCGGACGTAGTACACAACTTCTGAAAAGCCTTGGATCCGAAAGGGATCGCTGGCATGGCAGTTGTGATGGATTCAGCCAACAGATGGACTCGCTCATCGGTGATGCATTGCTCAGCGCTGCATTCTTGGCTTATTCCGGGTACGTTAGCACTATCAAAAAAATTTTCACTGATGCAGTTGTCTTAAAAAATTTGGAAGTAATCCAAAATTAAAGAAATTTTAAAAAATTTGAGAAAAAATCAATATTTTTTGTTTTTTGCAGTTACTACGATCAGCAACTGCGCGATCTTCTGTTTCATCACTGGACCGTATTCGTGGAGCAAGCCGAAATCAAACATCGCTCTGACCTGGCACGCGTGGAATACCTCTCGTCGGTGGATGAACGACTCGAATGGAGTAAGAATGGCCTGCCTGTTGATGAACTGTGCACCGAGAATGCTATCATGCTACACAGGTTGGCGAATTTTGCAATTTGGGAAGTTTTTCTAAAACCAGCGTAGTAGCCATAAACGTCCTGGTAATCCTATAGGCAGGGCAATTGTGCCTGCTGAATTGAAACTTTTAAATTATAAACTGGTCATAATAATTGTAAAATATGTACAGTTCTAATTATACAGTTATATAATGTCTTTTTCCTTTTTTTTACCCTGTGACTCAGGAATGCCAATCGCATTCCTGTGTGTTTACAATTTCCTCATTTTTGTCCTGTCCCCTTTTTCATGCCTACAAAAACCATTTCATTTTCCATTTATCATCTTATCTTCTTTTGATCCCCTTATCCCTATTTCCTTTTCCTTTATCATCCCTTTTTATCTCCCGCTTCTCCAAATTCCTAAATTCCTCCAAATTATTACATCATCCACTGGGGCGAACCCCACTCCATTTATAATCCTCTTCACCTTCTTGGTCTGGGTTCCCAACCAACGACGTCTTCAACCCCCGGCACGCCAGCAACTACTCTCGTCGACCCTATCCGTGAACACGACAGAAACCGGCTCCGTTCTTCTCGAAAGGACTACTCCGGCTCGGAACCTCGTTATCGAATCTCCTGCTCAGCAGGCCACTCTGTTCGTCAGAGCCCAGACATCACGTCTTGTGTATTATTGCTATTGTCTGCGTTGCAGTAAGTAAGACATAAATTTATCATTTATCTAATTGGCCCTCCAGTCTACGCACCACGCCACACAGCGATCCACTCACGTAAAACAACCCCATCCCATAAAAATTTTTACTTAATTAAAGAAAGAAAATGATTCAATACCTGATAAAATATAAACCTTTTTAACTATAATAGTTAAAGAAAAAAAAAAATAATTCAGTACCTAATAAAATATAAATTGGCATTAGTGTAACGCCAAACAAACTGCATATGTTAACACTGGGAAATAAGGCCAAACAAGCAGCTTAGAAGTTTTCAGGCCCCTGTTCTCTTCCAAACTCCAACAAGAATATTCACTGTTTGTATCTTTAAAATTTCTACAGTACATAGTGTAGTAGAAATTCAGTTCACTTTAAGCTTTTTTTTGAATAAATTCTTTAAAAAAGAACCAGCAATAGCCACATGGAGATTTTGATGCTGAAAAATTGCTATATTTTGGTGACTACGGTCTTTGGTTCCGTTTTATGTGAAGTGTTGTTGGTGAAATTGTTTTTTTTTTCTTGAAAAATGCGTTTTCAGATTTAATCGCTATCCGTTAATCATTGATCCATCAGGACAGGCTATCAATTATTTGATGAGACAATTTTCCGGAAAAAATATTGTGAAAACAAGCTTTTTGGACGACTCATTCAGGTAATTTTTTTTTGAAATTTGTAATAAAAAAAGTGCATTTTTTCGGAAGATTTTTTTCTGATAGCTGGTCAAACAGTCCAAGAAGACCGCTTTGCTTTTTTGTAAATATCACTTTTCTTGCACTTCGACAAATGGCACATCCGTGAAAATGTTTTCGAAGAAGTGTTGTGCACAAATAATGAATATTAAAGACCATGTGAAAGTTTTGGCGCGAAAATCGCTAGCTCGAGAATCAGAAAAGCTGGGGAGCTGAAATTTGCAGAGGATGTTCCCAGACCACTTAGAACTCAAAGATTTCAAATTCATCCCTCAGTTGCGCATTAACGTGCAGCTTCGGAGAAGAGGACCTGCCACAAATGCTTCCAGTGTTTGAGTATATAACACTAGTACATCAGAATCAGCAAAGTGTTTCTTTAGATTTTTTGACACTCTTCTCAGATGTAAAGCTAATCGCATGTAAAATGTAACTCATTTGTAAAATAGCGTACAAATGATTCTGAATACAAAAAAGTGAGAGATAGAACAATTAAAAAACAAAAAAAAAAGTATATTTTTAAAAATCTTTTTGAAAAACAGGATATAATTTTAAAAAAACAGGGTATTTTTTTGCATCATCTTTCGATTTTTTAAAATTATCCCTCCCCCCTCCCCCCGCCCTTCCTAAATTGGAATGCTCATTTTTTAAGCTTTTCTAATTTTTTTTTTTTGATTTCAGGAAAAATTTGGAATCAGCACTGCGTTTTGGCAATTCGCTACTTGTTCAGGATGTTGAAAGCTATGATCCAATACTGAATCCTGTGTTGAATCGCGAAGTGAAACGAACCGGTGGACGAATTTTGATAACGCTGGGTGATCAGGATATCGATTTGTCTCCTTCATTCCAGATATTCTTGATCACACGCGATGCTTCGGTATGAATAATTGTGATTTCGAAGCACTCTGATGAATTCTTCGGATGTGTGGATGACCAATGTTTGTGTGTGTATGGGGGCAGTTTTTCAGGTTGAATTTGCGCCAGATGTTTGCTCACGAGTGACATTTGTCAATTTCACCGTGACACGTTCGTCGCTTGAGATGCAGTGCCTCAATCAGGTACTGAGAAGTGAACGGCCGGATGTTGACGAAAAGCGCAATGATCTGTTGAAACTACAGGGAGAGTTTGCCGTAAAACTGCGACAGCTTGAAAAGGTCTTTTTTTTTTAATGCTTTGTTTGTATCTGTGCAATGCAAAAAAAGCTATGCGTAGTTCAGCCTCGTGAAAATTTTTGGCGGGTAAGTTGCTAACTCGGGAACTTGAGAAGCTAGAAAGCTGGAATTTTAAAAGTATGTCCCCCGTTCAAGTAGGACTTAATGAGTTGAAGCCCACCCCCTAGGTTTGCGTGGTTCCCATGTATGGGCCCGTGGAAGTTTTCTGCGGATAAACTGCTAACTCGGGAACCAAAAAAGCTAGAGAGCCGGAATTTTAAGGGAATTTTTTTCTCACAGTCATGGTAGCCAGCCTCAATTCTTTTAGCTAGAAACATCTGCCGGGAAAAGCAGTGCCGTTAGTGACAAAAACCTGCCGGAGAACTGTGCAAATAACGCATCTTCGCATCGGCAGTCGGTGCGCTGAACAATTATTTTAATTTGCTACAAATCTTAATTTGTTGTTACCGCTACTCGGCCAAATCCGGCCAATATTTGCATTACTTTCACCCAAACCATCATTTGTTTCGAGTACCCCCCAGGCAGCTACACACTTAAAAGCATCTCGACGTAAATTAGATGCCTCGATTTTGCCTTTTCTACAGTTACTTTCTGCACACTGTCCAAACTCGCTACTCCGTCGATATGGTTGTGGTTTTTACGAGAGAAAGTTCAGCTCAATTTTACTAAAAAATGTCACTCGAGGCTTTCTTTCTTACGATTTATTCTAAGCAAAATACCCATTTTTAGGCGCTGCTGACAGCACTGAATGAAAGTAAAGGCAAAATATTGGATGATGATTCGGTTATATCGACACTGGAAAAACTGAAAAATGAAGCAGCTGAGGTTGCTCGCAAAGCTGCC